TTGAGAAACGCTGGCCTAGATAGCTGGTGGGGAAGAGTCATTAGGGGAAAACAATAGGCCTTAAGCAAAGTTTATCTCCCACCTATCAAGCCTTCCTGAGACCACTACAGACACCGTCTGAATAATGGCTGTTATGACTCTACAAGGATATGTAGTAAGACCACATGTCTCTGTCTTCTAATTTGGGATGTCACTATTTTTCTACAGATGGGTCTGGGAACCAAGCTTTGAAAAAGAGTGTTCCCTCGATATGCAAAAGCTCTATAAGAGGGGGAGTGACATCAGCTGGAGTTCTTCACTCCCCACACAAGATAACTCCTGGGAAGACCTGAACTGGAGGAAGTGCTGGACCCAGGTTAAAGGGATTTTTAGACTGTGAATGGAACACTTGGGGGTTCCAAGCTGCAACCCCTTAAGACTGCAGCTTGTTTGTATCATCTCTGAGGGTGAGAATCTGCTAATTCATATCCACACTATTTAATATAGTGAGTTTAGTTTGTGTTTTTTTTGTTTATTTGCTGGGTAATCTGCATTGATCTGCTTGCTATCCCTTATAATCACTTAAAATCTAACTTTTGCCACCAATACTGATTTTTTTTCCCCTCTAAGCCAGTATGTGAGAATCATAACTCAGGGGCAAAAGGCTGTTACACATTCCTGAGGGAGGGGCAAATTTTATGAGCATATGCTTTACAGTCCCCTGTGTAGTGCAAGATGGCATCATCTTGGATTTACACTCCAGAGGGCTATGTTTGTGTGCCTGAGGAGCTGGTTGTTGCCCTATCTGAAGTCTTCCAGTGCAGATGTCTCTTTGTATGCTGGTGAAACTGCAGGCTGGAGCCTGGAGGGCTTGGCAGCTTGTGACAGCAGTACAGTGTGAGAGGGAGCCCAGGCTGGTAGGTTAGGGGAACTCAGTGGTACTCCAAGACCAGGTGGCACCTTGGGGGGAACCAGTCACAGCAAGATTGGATATTTTCCCCTCATCCTCTGTATTATCATAGACTTTGCACATATAAGACTGACAACTACTAATGAGAATACTGGCATTGTTTAGGAAAGTAACAAAGCTCAAGACTGAGATTTTGCAGCCAATATAGTCATGCTGGATAGTGACTGGCATGGAATGAAAACAAAAGTGCCACTTTTTCCCTTTGCCCAGGGTTGCTTAATCTCTATACATTCCCCCACTCCATCACTTCCCCCCAGGTTCCTCCTGCTCCATCCCCCCACCTTTTCCAGTTCCCTTCCCCGAGCATGCCACACCCCTGCTCTTCCCTTTCCCTCCCATGCCACAAAGTGGCTGATCGCAGTGGGAAGGAGGTACTGGGAGGACAGGGGAAGAATTGATAGGTAGGGCCACTGGCAGATGGCAGGCACTGGGAGGGGAGGGTGGAGCTGGATGCTGGTGGGTGCTCAGCACCCATTAATTTTTTTCCAGGGGTGATTGAGTCAGTGCCTGTGAATGAAAAGACTCTCTATGAGCATAAAAACAGAAGTAGCCAGAGTGGGACTTTATATCAGTATACAGAAGACCAAAGTTATGGAAACAGAAGAGAGGGCTGGCGACATGGGCAGATGTGTGATTGATGGAGAGGAGTACAAAAGAACTGATGACTTGGAAGTACACTATCTACTAACTGCCATCTCAATAAAGATGTGATGGCAAGAATCAGCAAAGCCAGTGGATCATTTTCCCAGGTGCAAACATCTGAAAGAATAAGACACATCTAACACACTAAAATGAAATTGTACAATTCTATTGTCCTCCCAGAAACATGGCATAAGACAAGCGGAAGCTGAAAGCACTCCACAAACGCTGCTTTAAAAGAATCTAAGGCGTTTACTAGAAAGGTCATGGAGCCAATGTGGAAGTGTTGCATCACAAGGGTCAGCAGCCTGAAGAGTCAGAGATACACAGATGCCAAGGCCAGAAGGGATCTTTGTGATCATCTAGTCAGACCTCATGTATGACACAGGCCATAGAACTTCCTAGAACTTGTATTTTAGACAAACATCTAATCTTGGTTTTAAAATGGTCAGTGATGAAGAATCCATCAGGAACCTTCACAACTATGATAGTTAGGACATACTAACAAGCTGCCCTGTGGCAGAAGCACAAAGTGCATCTTAAACTGGATTCCTCCAGAGGGCAGAGAAGGAAAGAAGGCACAGAAGACATTGGAGGACTTACTGCAGGATAACTGAAAATGTTGCCATTGTGGAAACTACATATGATAGAGTCCAACATCTTGCTCTGGACAGACAGCAATGGCGGGAAATGAGTAACCTCATGTGCCAGTAGGCTTAGGAGATTCTCAAACTAAAAGTTAAGAAGAGCTACACTAATATAAAAGTGCTTTAACCCATCTAGCTTATTCCAGACTAGGAAGGGATTCAGGTAAACCCACTAAAAGCACCTTTGTGCCAGTATAACTGTATCCACGTTAAGGGTTGTACCAGTATAACTAGTCTGACTAAAAACAACAATCCTAACTGAAATAACTGTACCGGTACAAAATCTGCATGGACTAGACCAAGATGCTAAGGGCCTTTACAATTGTGTACAGCTGGTGTAGCTGATAAAAGTATCCTCTCCTCCTGTGCAGAGTAGGCCAGTGAAGCCAAACCATTTGTCTAAGATAACGGGGGGCAAATAGCGGCCCACAGGCCAGATCCAGTTCCCCAAGGTTAGCCCCTGACAAGCTGTCACTGCTATATTTACCTGTGCCTCCGCAGGTATGAGTGTTTACCGCTCCCATTGGCCGCAGCTCACCATTCTCAGCCAATGAGAGCTGCAGGAAGCAGTGTCATGGTCCACACCACTTCCCGTAGCTTCCATTGGCTAGGAAGAGTGATCTTAGGACAACGGGAGCTGCAAACACCTATACCTATGGGGGCGCAGGTAAATAAAATGGTGGTGGCCCACTAGGGGCTAACCCTGGTGAACCACCTCCATTTTATTTCCCACTACTGGCCTCAGAGAGAGAAGCAGTCAATACTAGAAGGCAGGTTTCCCAACTCCCAGTGTTGTTTCCAATCCAGGAGGTTGCAGGCCTTGACTGTCTTCTCTGCTCTCCTCCCCTCTCCTTTTGCTCAAGGCTTTTCTCTCCACTCTCTTCTGAAGGCTTTGCCTTGTAATTCATTGGGCACCTGAGGTGGGCACTGATCAGCACTGCCACACAGCCTGTCACTTCTAATTAAGTTAGAGTCCCCAGCCAGTAAGTAGGAGCCTCATGGGCACAGATTCACCTTCCCTGTGGTGAGAGGGCTGGAAAGCACATTGTGAGCTCAGTGTCTTTACTGGTGCAACAACACTGCAGGGGTCTCCTCTTCACTCATCTCCTGTAGCAAGATTTGAATGACTCCCCCCAGCTGCCCAGAGAACAAAGTTACATTCCATCCTCCTCAATTCATGTACATTTCTAGTAGCCTGAGCTGTCAGGCTCAAACTAGGACAAGCGGAGGGGAGACTGTGCTTCTCAAGATCTATACAAAGATGTAACCCAGTGTCATGTGTATGGACCTGGGCCATACACACTGGTAGAACATGGGGTGGCCACCTCCATGGTCTCTGTCTGTCTGTCTCTCCCCTCCCTGCTTAGGACTGGGGTTGGGAGATTTAGAGACAGATGCTGTTATGATCGCTCTGCACCATGCTGGAGGAATCCTCCACTAGCCTGTTAGGTCAACATTACACCACCATTATCATGCATGTCAGCTGCACAGAGAACTGTGGATCTGGCCTTTTCCGGGAAGGCCCAGGATGCTTTTTGGTCTCATGGGAGCTGAATTCATGAGAACCTTCCCAGGGCGGCAGTGACCGCTGTAGGACATTCTACCGTAGGCAAACCACATGTCACCCTGACTGAAGGACTTAGCCAAGGAGGTCCTCACTGAGATGTCGTCCTCTGAGCCCCACGCTGGGAGTATTACCCTGGGAGGTAGGAGGTGATTCAGACCAATGCTTTGTGTATTGACCATGGTCTACTGAAGTCACTGGGGCTACGTCTACACTGGCCCCTTTTCCGGAAGGGGCATGTAAATTTCACCAGTCGTCGTAGGGAAATCCGCGGGGGATTTAAATATCCCCCGCGGCATTTAAATAAAAATGTCCGCCGCTTTTTTCCGGCTTTTAAAAAAGCCGGAAAAGAGCATCTACACTGGCCCCTACACTGGTAGGAATAAGACCCTCCGGAAAAGGGCACTTTTTCCTGAGGATCGGGGCCAGTGTAGACGCTCTTTTCCGGCTTTTTTAAAAGCCGGAAAAAAGCGGCGGACATTTTTATTTAAATGCCGCGGGGGATATTTAAATCCCCCGTGGATTTCCCTACGACGACTGGTGAAATTTACATGCCCCTTCCGGAAAAGGGGCCAGTGTAGACGTAGCCTGGGAGTTTTGCCTGAGAAAGGTCATCAGGATTTGTACGCCTATAAATTGGCAGCTACCAAATGAAAATACCTTTGTCCTAAGATGCCTGATCCCATCACCTTTAGCCTCAGGTTCAAATGGGCCTATTGCTTTCCCATTTTCTCCAGCATCCAGTCTAAAACATTCCTCTTTCTTTTTCAACCCCTCCACGGACTTGTTACACACTGAATTGTCTGAATGGCATTCATGTTTGAGAAAACTGCTGTACTGTCAGCGACACAGATCATGGGCAGCATGTTCGGCATTAGGGGTATCTTCATCCCCACCGTCCCACTTATGTGTCCAAAAGACGATCCCCAGTGACCACCTCTGGGAGTAGGAGAGTACTTAATTTCCCCGCACTTCTATTCATCTGTGGCTTTCTGCTAAGCCTGTCAACAAGCGGTTTATTGGGACCTGATGCAGAGATGGTTTCATATAAGTACTGGATGGAGCCCATCTATTCATTTCACACAAGCCAATGGAAAGCACCCACACAGACGCCAATCACTGCTGACCTCAGCTCGATTTGAATCTGGGACCTAGACATTCTATATCTTCTTTTACCTGTTTTAGTGA